ATAATAACAACATAGGTTCTAGACAACAAAGAAGTATTCACAGCTATTACCCATTGCTCACTACTACCCCATCCTTTCCCGACTTGTACGATTCTTGCTGCCACTTCAACTATCATCCCTTATGAACTCACCTATTCCAGGCAAGTAACAGGGGTGAAATGCTACCAGTTCAGGCGAATCGGTAGTAAAAAAAAAAAGCTATTGGTTCGGGTCAACTGGTAGTTAGCTACCAGTTCGATTGAACCAGCAGTTTAAAAACCTACCAATTCAAGCAAACTGGTAGTTAAAAAAATAACCAGCTGCTTCACTTCCAGCTATAAACACTTCTCTCTCATACCCAACTGTCTCTGATAACAGCTTTTATAGCCAGCAATGGGGAGAGGACTTAAAGAAACAGGATGACATCAATAGAGGTGCTGTTCATTTTCTGAGCAAAGTCTCATTATAATTAAAAACAACTTAACCTTGAAGAGTTCAAGAAAACAGTAGACCATTCTCCTATCCTATGCTAAATTGAAATCAGCGAATTGTTGTAGTGATTATGATCTAACCAATGTCAAGCTTTTTCTAAGTTTAATTCATTTAATTGGAGATAGTTGAATATGTGTATATGGGTGTGCTATGAGTGATACTCACCTCCAGGAAACGCAAAAGCTCAATTTCATAATCTTTCTTTCTCTACAAAGCAAGAAGAAAAAATTATTTTGCCAAATGGTTCCCATCTCCTTCTCCTACCTCCATCCCTCTTTCTCACTCTAAACAAATTGATTCTCTTGATTTTTACAAGTTTGTAAGAAATTAGTTTCTAGAAATTTTAATAAAGTACTGGATTTGGGATCAAATATTTAACTGACCTAAAATAGTAGCTCTGAAATACTTGAAGAATGGAAGTCCTTGGTAAATACAATTGTTTCCCCACCGTTTTCTGATTCCAGAGGGTAAAAGGTGACAGTACCCTGACTAATTTAATGTACAGGAAGGAAGAATTCACTCATTTTAAAAGGTCTGCCAAACAAGATGAAATAGGGCACTACAATTATAATTTTTTAAGGCAAGGTCAGACAACATGATATCCTCCAGGTATTCTGGACATGTATTTCCATCTACTGATCTAGCATGGCTATTTACAAAGTATTCTGTGAGTTGTGGTGATAGGCATTTTTGGACATTAGGTCATCGTCCTATTTTAATATGTACATGATGGTAAGTGTACATGGGATGGGGACTATTGCCAAATGATATTCTTTAAATTATGAAGTTGGGCCTTTTAAGATAAAAGAGCTGTCTCTTTACTCTAACTCTCAAGCATTTCACTGATGCTTTTTTTGTATTGTAAGAATCAAACAGAGCCTGGGAAGGCAACTAACAAATGGGAACATTAGAAAGTTAAGGGCTATTGTACCTACTAGTCCTTCCTAATTGTATTAAATCTTGTAGCAAGAGAGAAACCTGCTTGTTCTCAAGAGCACTACTGTTATATGCCTGGTTGGTTACTGGAAGTCGACCTCCACTCTAAATGTATCCTGGAAGGCTGCAATGATCTGACTGCTATTCATCAGATTTCAGATTTCTTCTCAGCTATTCCATCCCCAAATTAGCTAATTATTATTTGTTTAGTAAAGGGCAGTGAAAATAGGATTAAGATTCTATTAACACACCAGCAACAATATTTACCCATCAGCCTTCATACTCCACACGTTAATTGTGAAGTAGTTTGGGGGATACCCACAGCTGGCAATATGAGGACTTTGAAATTCACATGGAGGCTGCCTTGTCTAATATGCTTTGTGATTTTTCAAATTCTCCATGACAAGTAATGAGCCTGTCTAGCCAGAAATATCTGACAGAATTAAGATCGAAGATTTCCTCAAGAGCACAGAACAATTCCTTGCATCAGCTGTTTTATATCAGTCCTTTTCCTTTCTGTTATTGTAAATTGACTACTATTTGAGATTTCAGTGTGCTCAGATTTAAACAAGGAACCACTCTCAATCCTGTGTCAATTAAACAAGGTCGAAATGAAGTCAAAGATAATCATAATTGATATCGGATGATTAAAGCCAGATAGGTATTAGCTTAAACACATTATGATAAATCAACAGTACATTAAAATGGCCAAATTAAGCAACTAATTTGTGTTTGTACTGTTAATTATTTAATTCAACTGTAAAAAAGGGTACAGAAAATACTCAGTTTTTATGAGGAACCAAAGGAAATGATTTTATTATGGAGAAGACTGGATTGCATTTTCATCCTATAATAGAAGGCAGATACAGAAAGCGAGCAGCATGTTTGTGGTCCTCAGAATCTTCTAGTTTATGTATAGGCAAAATTTCCAGTCTTTATCTGGAAAAAAATTTTGGGAGAAAAAAAAATCCTGCTCTGCCTGTTTTTGAGTACAGCCCTCAACATGTTAAGCACATCTGATGCAGCCCAAATAGCACACTCCTGTGCTACAAACAAGATGAAACTTGCAGTGACTAACACGACTCATTGTTCAAAGAGTAAGTAACCTGCATCATCACAGCTTCCTCCATTGGGTGAGAGCTATGAGGTGTATTTGAATTTTAGTTTATTTCCTTTTTGCTTTGAGAACTCATGTAAATTTATTTTTTTCATATTAATGAGCTCACAATTGTTTCAGATTTGAGATTACTCTTATCTGAAATATTGAGAATTATATTCTGGGGCATCTCATAAAAATGGCTGCCCTTCCACAAAATGGCTGCCATGAGGGACAAAATGGCACAAAAGCACAGAACGAGTGGAATGGATACAGGTAGATTTTTAGCATCACAAAGTGCTCCTTGTTATATGTTGTTTACCTGTCTTTTTTGTGGAGACTAGAGACTTTCTCTGAAATCAGGAAGAGGAGGATTTTTAATTGAAAAAAACATTAATTTAGTATGGCAGAGGACTGATAGGCACCCAAAGGCATGCCTTTTTAATAACATCACATTAGCCAAGGAATTGGTGAATCACTAGCCCAACTATTGATGAGATTTTACATTTTAATTTATTTATATTTCATGTAGTAGCATGCAGTTTATTTGCACCTTGTAGAGATGTATTTATTTACCTTCTGAACAAGGGACTAGACTTCTAAAACAGTAAACAGGACTATCATATTGCATTTCTGAATGTGGATAAATACAATTCTCTATCAAAAGTGGGACAGCCAGCTGACCCAGAAATCAGGAAGTGGATTTATTATTATTTATTTTCTGGAAAACATTTTTAATACTTGCTCCTCCAGCCCTGCTTACCTGATCACACTTTTTGTGGTAGGCATCCTTTTCTTTTTGGGAAAGAAGTTTCCACTGCTGACTGCAGAGCACCATCCGTTCTGTGCTTGGGACATCTTTCATGTTTGCCATCAGTTCAGCACAGTAAAGCGAATAACTATTTCTAAAATAATAAGTTTCTTTTATGTAGTACTGTCCCATTGAATTAGTACTTGGTATATGCTATACCAACCAATAGCAATCAAATGCCTGTGACAATAATTCTGTGATAACTTTTGCAGGTAAATTCCCATTCAGCTACAAATGTTCGCTTTGAGTGGGGATTCTCATCTATAATTTAAAATAGAGGCGCGTAACTTGTAGGGCATTCAAGTCCCCAAAAAAGCCTTGAGTGCCCCATCCTCAAGAAGATGTCAGCGAATTAATCAAACAAGAAAATTGCTAAAAGTCTAAAGCACATTGCCTACTTAAGTATAATGTACTTAATTAAACTAATTAAATTTTTTTCTAATCCCACTTCTTAAGACTACAGTTTCTAATATGCTATCTATTTAGGACATTTGTCCTAAATTGGGAATGAATATTGTAACTTGGGGGACAACTTATGGCTCTCCAGCTGTTCTTCTGCGACCTCGGAACCTCTGACCATAAATGAAGAAAATGGGTTGTGTGATTTTGAGGTAAAAAGACAAAAATTGTTAATATAAGCCTTAATATTGATACCTTGCAAAAAATCAAAGTAAAGAGCTCAAAATCCCACTCAAGAAAAGAAAAGCCATCCCCATTTGCAACATCAGTCCAGCTATAGTGATTTGTAGCCTCTTCAAGCGCATCCCTGCACTTCAAAATCATTTGCCAATCATGAGAAGGCAACCTTGGAAACAAGCCACTTGTTAAGTAGTGTCATCCATCCCCACAAGCATCAGACTAACGAAGAGATAGAGGGAGGAAAAAGTATTAATTTAATACAAGCTTCTTTCCTTGCATAAAAGTCACAACTTTGGATGGTTTTCTACCCTGACTCAATGTTGCAGTGAGTTTTTTTTTTTTTTTTTTTTTGAGGTGTATTGTTCTCCCTCAGATTTTTGCGAGAGCATTGAGTTGGATCAAAGCTGAGAGGTAGATGAGAGCTACACAACTACAAGAAAGAGCTGGGAATTAACCTGCAGAAACACAGCAGGAAAGTTTTATTTCAGCAACATATCCTTCCTACAAACTAGGACTGAATTCCCCAAAACTCCTCTCCTTCACAGCCAAAACATTTGGGGATGGCAAATTTATTCAAAGAAAATCTCACCACAGAATAAAGCAGTGGAAGGAAATGAAGAATTGGATGACCTTAAGTAATCTTTAGCTCAGGGTGTCAAACCGGTGGCCTGCAGGCCGTATGCATCTCATGCAGGCCAAGACTATCCCAGCTCCGCAAATGGGGAAAACGTCACAAAACATCACATAACAGCAATGTGACGTGGCGAGTTTGACACCCATGCTTTAGCTAGACCAGTGTTTTTCAATCTCAGCAACTTGAAGATGTGTGGAGTTCAACTCCCGGAATTCACCAGCCAATGCCTCAATGACTTAAGAGTAACAGCAGGATAGGAAAAGGAGCACCTCTTACTATATTATTCACCATTCTACAACACTATATAAGTGATAGTAAACTACTCAAGGGGCTGTAGATGAAATCCCCATCATATATATGAAACAATGAGAAGGGGAACAATTTAGAGAAATAAACATGGGCTCAAATAAATTCCTATGGGTTTTAGCCTTCTTCAAACTGCCCTGCCCTGAAAATAAGTATTTTGTCCCCCTTAATGAAGGAAAGAAGCATCATAGTGCTAGCAGGATGTGTAGGTATAAAAAATCTGCAAAATGTTTGACACAATGTTGTGATGCAAGCCCTGCTTCTTTTGTACCCACCAACTCAACACAATTTTACTTACTTGCAGATGCGAACAACCACAACAATAGACCTCTGTTGGCAACAGAGTGGAAAATGGGGAGCCATGTTCTGTTCGTGAAAATAACTGACATCCAGGTGCTATACCAGATTCTACCTGCAGAGGTCAGGGTTTGAAAAGTTCTCTCATTGCGCTCTTTTATTAATGGTTGAAATGGCCTTTTATCTTTTTTTAAGCGTTTATCTTTATTGGCTATGTTGTGTGCCCAATATTATCACAATTTTCTGAACTATAGTTTTGTGGTCTGGTTTTACATGTTCTCATTTGATTGTATGCCACTTACTGATTAAACTGAAACAGTCAAAAGTTCAAATTAAAAGTTCTAGGCTCACGTAATTTAAATCTGTTCCAAATTATTACTGTAGTCTTTCTTACTGATATTATTATTTTAGTTGTTGTTGATTTCTGTATGCTATGAGATTTTTCTACTGTAGCAATGGCACATAATTTTGACTACTTCTACTACACTGAACCATAACTTAATTGGGCAGGCATCATATATTGAATCATAAAAACCTAATCAGCATTGTCAAAGATAGCAGTTAGTGTACTAGTTAAATGAATTGAAAGAACAGAGCTAGTATGACATTCTGGGGTAGGGATTTGCACCTGTAGCTCTTTTAAGTTCACCTCCTGGTTCCTTTTGCCACATCAAATGAATGTAAAGAGGATCTCCATATTTTACCAGTTCTAGGAAATATACATGAAAGTGCTGCCGAAAGGGAAAAAGCCTTCCCAATTATGACACCCCAACTTACGGAGGGGGCTTGGTGGGTCGCCCATCAAACTTGTCCTTCAATTGCCTCTCTGCTTTTGTTAGGGTAGACCGTGGTGGTGCCCCCTCCTCAATGTTCATCTCTGGATGCTTCTGTATGTAATCCCGCATCATTTCCTGGAAACAACAAACACAGAGAGTGGTTAACACAATACAGCCACAAAGCTTTGGGGATAAGCCCTTCCTAGGCTCTAGGGTAATGAGGTGGGCAAAGAGAACCCATTACTTAACTCTGACCAATTTCAACTCTGGGTAGATGAAGCAGAGAGGGTGTTGCTTTGCAACTACCTTCCAGCTTAGTAAATGGGAGTGGCACCCACAAATCGGCTCTCGGAGCGTGGCTGGGTTTGGACAGCCGCGACAAGGCCGGGCTGAGCATAGGGGGGAGAAGATGGAGGGGAACGGTGTACTGTTCCCTACCTCATACTCCTTCCGCTGCTCCAGAGCCTTATGAATCCATTTCAGCCTTTTTTTGTCCGAGAGCTGAGACCATTGCTTGCCCAACGCTTCCTTCACCTCCTTCGTGGTGGCCTGAAAAACCCAGGTGGGGAGGGGGAAATAAAAAAAAAAAGTAGATACAATGGAAAAAAATGGGGGAAGGGGAGGGAACACTGCCCACCCTGGTGGTACAGCAGTGAATTACACTAAACTTTGGGAAAGATGAATTTTCTTTTGTGATTTTTTTTTAAAGTATCTTTTTCTTGATCCTGCAAGGAAGCAAAATATAACTTGCTGCATAATACATATGCAGAGGTCCAATATGAGAATTCTGAAGAATCTTTGTTTTGAGGTTTAAATACATATAAAAAGGGTTTCAGTCCCATGTAGGCCATTTGTAAAGGTCTCTTGTCTTTGCTCTCTTTCTATCCTTCTCTTTCTCACCAAAAGAAACATGGAAGATTAAACTTCTGGTGCCGGTGACTGACCCAGATTGGAACCTGCAACATTATCCTGGAACACATATATTTGCCTTCATTCATAAAAGAAACTGTCTGAATAATGGTAATTATGGAAATTTATGTAAACAGTAAGCAAATATTGCAAAGAGCAGATATCACACACAGTTTCTACACACTTCTAAGAGTGTTCCTGCCACACCTCCAAGAAAGATGGGAGTTAGTGATCTATAGGGGTTTTTTTTTGTAGTGATCTCTTTTTGGCCTCACTCTATTTACCATTCTAACAGAATAATAGAATTGGAAGGGGTTTTGGAGGTGTTCTAGTCCAACTCCCTGCTCAAACAGGAGACCCTACATCATTTCTGACAAGTGATTGTCCAATTTCTTCTTTAAAAATATCCAGCGATGAAGCACCCACAATGTCTGGAGGGAATTCTTTACAAATCTAACACTTTAGAAGCTATCTGTATGTGTGATCATCATCTTGTAGCCATGAATTCCATGAATTAACTATTCACTGCACGAAAATTATTTGTCTATCCTATCTATTTGGCTTATCAAATAGATGACCTTAAACCTTATTTTTTCCGAAGAGAAAAAAAAAGGGCACTTAGGTCTACTTGAATGGGTAACAAAAAAATTCCCCCCTGTATTAGGCTATTTGAAGAAGAAATATCAGAACATTCAATGGCTGTTGGAACTGAAAAAGCTGTAAATCCCTAGAGTAAACCATTTGTATTCACTGCCCCCATTTTTGCTTTTATGAAGTTGTAAGCTGCTCAGAGTTGCCTGACAGTGAGACAGGCGGCATATACATTTAATAAATAAACAAGTATTTGTCAAGATTATCTTTCCCCGATCTTTATTTAAGTTTCATAGCTTTTTCTTGATGGCAGCCCTCTCAGAATCAATTTTACATATTCAGCAGAATCAAAAGACAAAGCTTTTCCTGAATGTATCATTTCCTGATGTCCTGATGGGGGAAATGCTTTTATCTGAATGCTTCATTTATTTAAAAAAGCAGGACCCCTCTGTAGATAAAAGAAAACAACATGAAGAAACATGAAGCTGAACATTTTCATTTGACAGACTATGGGTCATATAGCAAAACGGAAGTTTTCCGATAAGAAGAAAATGTTCATGTGTGTGATTAGAATCCTAAATGTAATAACCCAGGAAGGCCTTTACTTTCTGCTCGAATGTAACCCAGAGCCTCAGCTGATCAAAAATGAAAAGACACAGCTTTATAACTAATTTTTCCCCTTTGTTCTACTTTCAGAAACAGCCTTCTACCTCCCTCTCTCCCTCTGTTTCCACTGCTTTCTCTGTGCTGTCTTTATTTATACCTCCCATGCCACCTTCACCTCAGACTTAAAAAGGTAGAGTTACTTACATCAGGTCGGACTTTCAGGTAGATCTTCTTCTCATGAGTATACCAGAGCTGTTGGGGGGTCTTGGGTTTTTCTGGGATATCAGATTTCTTGGCATTCTGAATGAGGTCAGGATGGTCTTCCCTTCATAGAACAGGGATGGTAACAGGGGATGGAAAATGTAAGGCATCACCATACTGGAATTAACAAAACACACTTTCATATAAATCTCTCTAAAACCCTATGTACCAATCCCCACTCTTGAATGCCAAGAAATCCCCAGACTGCAGGATGAATCTGCCCGTAGGAAAATTTTATTTTCACTCCCTTAAAAAATATTCCCTCACAATCCTCCAAACTTCATGGGCAAAGAAGGGATTTCTTATATAAGACCAACATTTGACCTTGGTGCAAAATTCTGAAACCTTCTAACACCTAAGAGCAAGACGGGGACATGCCCCCACCCCAAAAAGTGTGAGGCAAAGGCTCTACCCACTGCCTACCCAGACATTCTTGTAGAATGAAGATACATGAGTTTCTGAGTTGAATAAGAACATTTCACACACACACACAAAAACAAATCTTCCAGCTGGCAATGAAAGCCAGCAAGAAATAGAGGAGGACTAAACAAACGGATAACAAAATGATCAACAACAATTAATCCAGCAGCTGTTATGCTAGATAATTTTCTACCCAATGTCTTATCAAGAAATATTCTGTAGATATAAATGCTCATTGCATCCATTGTTTTGGTTTCGGTTTTTTCTCCTAGAAAACAAAAGTTTAATTACACGCTACACAGCAGGAAAGGCAGCTCTCTTCAAATTTCGGGAGGATGATAGTGATTGTGTATTGTAGAAAATCTGGCTGGTTTACATTATCCTTTCTCAATTTTTTTTCTTCTCAGGTGTTGTGGCCTAGAGCTTCCCTAAGTGCGTATGATCGTCTGGAAATGAAGTGAATTATATTGTAACATCTCAAGCTGGGAACAGCTGCCTAGGTAGATCTTTGATTTAATTCAATATTTGCTTAGCCTTAGATGAGTGCTTGAAATGTTCACACAGACAATTCTACCTGCCTTACAAGTATATAAATTTATAGACTTAGTTATTCTATCTCTAGTTTAAAAAAGGAAAGTGGGTTCCTGTGCTATATAACATACAACTTTGAAGGCAAGGAGCCTTCTAGCACTAATTATTCTTTCTATTCTCTCCTCACCATCTTCTAATCAAAGCAGCTTTCACAGTAAAGTTCAGAAAAACCTCCACTAAATGTGTGCAACTAAAGTCTACAGCTGAGAAGCCTTAAAGTGCTCATGGACACAAGCAAGGCATCGTTGCTTAAGATCTCTTACCTAAATCTTGCCAGATTCCGCTCAAAATCTTGTTTCTCTCGTTGGAAATCCTGAATATACTTCATCTAAAAAACAGGGAGAAGAGGAAAAATACTCCACCGCTGCTATTTATATATGAGGTAGCCAGCTGTCACACGCAAGCCCTCTCACTGGGGACAGAACTGTCTTGAGTCTTTAAGAGCGGTGGTTAGAGTGCAGTTCAGGCTAAATCTGCCAACAGCCAGCAGTTCGATTCTCACCAGCTCAAGGTTGACTCAGCCTTCCATCCTTCCAAGGTCAATAAAATGAGGACCCAGATTGTTGGGGTTAATATGCTGACTCTGTAAGCCGCTTAGAGAGAGCTGCAAAGCACTGTGAAGCGGTATATAAGTCTGAGAGCTATTATACTGAATATCTACTTCCTCTAATTCTATGTTCTGAAATTGCAGGTATTGCATACATGGATGCATGTGTGTATGCACAAGATACCCATCAAGCCTTCCACAGGGCTGTTCTTTATCTCTGGAAATGACATGAGAAGTTCAATTTCTTGGCATGCAGAACTAAAGCATCTTGGACTCTTCTTAGCTCAGAGTTAATAACTACAAATTTTAAATGCTCATCTACTCAGGAATCTTTGGCCCCAGCTAGCAAGATCCATAAAGGTTAGATTTGGGCACATTTACACACCAGCATGTTATCTTGCTTCCCATTTAGTTATGCAGAAATTCAGATAAAGGAGGTTTACCTTCACAAAAAGGTGAAGAGTTTACTGCTTCAGCACTAACTGTGCTGACCCCACTTGTATATTTTGTTGGTTTCTGCATTTCTCTTATGATCTGGAAACACCTGTGTTATTACCATTTAAAATAGGGATGCAGGAATTATAGATCTGAAGGTCCATGTAACCTATTTTTAGGAGTAATAGGGCCAACAATATATTTTGATTTTTCCCCCCCTTTAGGGCAGGTATCCCCAACCCCCGGTAGCACCCTGATAACAGGCCATAGCCTGTTGGGAACCAGGCTGCGCAAGCAGAGGGTGCGTGTGCAGGTCCGCCTCTGCATAGAACCATCCCCTCTCCCCCCCGCCACCCCCTGCAAGTGCTAGAAAGGTTGGGGACCACTGCTTCAGGGTTTCTTTTTTGTACATGGGTAATTCTGTCTTAGCAACTGTCCGAAGTTATGATAGATCTGCAGAGTTCTGAAGGCCACACCCCTCTATGTGGTGTGCATTATGGGCATTTGGCAACCGGCTGGCATTTACAGCCCTTTGCAGTGTCCTGCACCACCACAATTTTCAGTGGGTTTTGCCAGTTTCCAGCAAAAAAAATGCCCATAGGATAAAATGATTTGTTTAACAACTGCATTGTTCACTTAATGACTGTTGCATCTGCTTAATGACCATTGCAAAAGGGGTCATAAAATCAGGTGCACTCATGTAATGACCCACTTAATGACTGCCATAACTTACAAATATAACTCTAGTTTCAATTACAGTGGTAAGTCAAGGACTACATGCATGGAGGGATATTAATAGACAAGAGTCACCTTGAAGATGTTTTAGACAACTATTTCACACTTGAAATCCTGCCACCCAGAAAGAACTAAGCAGTATACCATCTGATTTTTGAAATGTGGAACTTACCATGTTATACAAAGTTAAAATTGTTCACAAAATGTCAGATGGGGCCAATTCAGCAGGCAAGTAGAGTCAAGTTACTTTGACAGAAAGGCATATAAACATTCCCTTCCCAAGGGAAGCATCCAGCTTTAAGCTCAAGATCCTAACAATCTGCAACTACCCCTAAATAATAGCCTAAAGAATTGTTCTATAAAAATTCATTTTATGGTTCATTATTTGTTTTGCAAAGGTAGCACATTCACAGAGCACTTGAGAAAGGGAATATTCATTTTTGCAGAAGGCACACGATACATAATTCGAAGGTATTAATTTACCCAAGGAAAAAAAATAGCTTTTTTCTCTTTCATTCTCTTCCTTTTTTGCTTTTGTCTGGTTTTGCTGGAAGCACCAGTAAAAAGGAGGCTTGCTGTTGGTAGGAATGGAATTATGCCATTCCTGAAACCCTCACCACATTCTGTATGTATTGCTCACCTTTTTCTTTTCGGGGAGTTCCTTATATTTTTTTGAGAGAATCTTGGTGAGGTCCAGGTTGCTCATCTCTGGATGTAGCTTAGCATATTTTGCTCGTTTTTCCATGAAGAAACGGAAATACGGAGTCAAAGGTTTTTTTGGGAAGTCAGGATGCTTCTAAATAGGGGCAGGAAGTAAGTAAAGAAAAATATTTTGAGATGATCTCTTTCCACAAAAAATGGAAAAAATTAGGAGTTTACTATATCTTCTTACTGTTTTGTTTTTAACATTTGTTTGCTGTGCCAAATATCTGGAATATGGTGATAGTATATTTAAGTAAACACATAACTGAATTCAACAATGAAACTCCACTAATCTTATGTAAGCTTTATTTCAGCTTAGCATCTCTATCTGATGAGACAAAAAAAATGGAGCTACTTCTTGAGACATACAAAGAATTAAATTGGCTGTCTATTTTGCCATTTCTGTTTGTTACTGTTTTAAACTACTTGTTTCTACACAGAAGCACATGACTTGGCAAGAAAGGCCAGCATTGAAGCTTATCACAATCTTCCCAACCATGCATCTCTCTCTGTGGGCTGGAATTATGCCACCCCAGAATTCCCAATCACTTTCCAACTCATTTAGAAAGCATCAGTCAAAGAAAGCCCACTCTATGTTTTCTGTCACAACTTGCCCACAACTTATACGTTTAATTCCTAGTTATTATTGTGACATATTACTATTATTCATTACCGGTAGTTTTCTCTCCTTTCATTCAAAAGTGCAACACACACATACATGCATACACACAAACTCTACGGTATATATAGTGTTCTCTCCTCTGTTTTCCTACCACAAGAACCTAGTGAGGTAAGTTAGCCTGAGAGAGACAGTGACTGGCCCAAAACCTCCATGTAAAGCATGTGGCATCTCCAACTGTAGAAAGACCAAGACCAATCAGTTAGCAATAGCAAACTAAATGAACAAATCATCCTGGCATAACATAGTTTCTATATTCAAAATGCAGCACTATAAACCTAAAGGCATGACTAGAATCTTGAGTTTAACTTTTATCATTAGCAATAGTGTAAGAAATTGGAAAAGTATTCTGTTAAAGTGTAAAGTTAAGAGGTTCTGCATTTTCCCCCACAAATCATACAAAATATTGATAGAAGAATATTTATAGCTCAATTTGAACTGTGAGGCCCTTGATTCTCTTGAGCTTGGTTTTCTCGCAGACATTTCATTCCCAAACTAAGTAACATCAGCAGTCTGACTGATGTTACTTAGTTTGGGAATGAAACATCTGCAAGAAAACCGAGTTCAAAAAGCACCAAGGATCCCAAAGACAAAATATTTCATTTCTTTAGAAGCGTCAACCTTCAGTGAACGTTGTAGCAATTAGAGGGCAATTTATTTTAATACCTGTTAATAGCTATGCTACTAATCAATCTTCCTTTTTAAAAAATGGGATGGAGGATTAGTTTTCCATAAACCTTTCACAAAAATAAAGAAACCTGTAGCCCTCCAGGTAATACTAAGGTATAATCTGATAAAACTGACTTTAAACTGCTACTTCAGAGATCTTTGCAGTTTACAGGAAATTTAATTTGGCTTTTGTTCCAATTGTTTACATATATTTGCACATCAATGCCTATTCAACATCTGATTGCATCTTTTGATAAGCTTTGCCTGTTAGGCCAAAAGAAGACACTCCTATTTTAGAAGGCTTTATTTCATACTCATTCTCAACCAAGCAAAAGGGGAAGAAGCTAAGGTCAACAGTTAAAATCTTTCACTTTGCTTACTGCAGAATGTAACACACCTTAATTTGCCTTATCTTTCCTGCCACATTTTTTTAAAACATATCCCTACAAGTATATCATATTTGTATGGTATGATAATGGCTGCAACAGGGATCATTGATAAGATTATAATTCTACACATGGACACTCCTTGCCTCCAAAGTTTGGGTTTTAAAATAGCACATCTTGTCTGCTTTGTTATAAGAATAGGTCTTCCAAATTTGACTGTCATTTTTGTTAATTCTAATTAAGGATTCCTGCTATTGGCTACTTTTGTTAGGTTTTTAATTACTGGCAACTAATATAGTTACTGTAAGATTATATTAAGGATTTTTATTTTAAAAAAAATCACACATATGCAAATCTTTTTAAAGTACTTTTTTCTACCCTTCCTTTTTTATGGCTGTGTTATTAAGTTTTGTTTTGTTTTTTAAAGAATCTCTTTGCTTTCTTTCTGTAGTTATCAGGAGCCACGATACTGTGTTTTACTTGCCACCCACTCCACTATTAAAACAATGTAGGACAATATAAGAGATGTATTAAATAATCCAAGTATACAAGATAAATTATTTTGTTAAGTTCAGACCTTCAAGGCAGTATGTCCCACCTATATGGCCAGAAAAAGGAAATAGCATCACAAAGAAAAAAATCACTGCACTTATTTTGGGCTTTAGCTTTGTAACCTGGAAAAAGAACAGCCCTCAGCTGAACAGCAAATACATATTTTCTTCTGAACAGTGTAATTAAACATTGCAGTTTTTAAAATGTTT